TTGGACCCTATTCATTCTTTAGGGGCTTCATTGCTTTCTTCTTTCCTTCAGCCAGACAAGCTTCTGCCAGCACACTGTCTTTTATGGGGATGAAAGTTTTAAATTTATTCATTTCATAATCACATTTTTTGTTTTTTGTTTATCATTTTTTCATCTAATTCCCTCTCCTCTGCTAAATCCAATTTTGCCAGGCACACTGTTTGAGAAGCAGAGGGATTTCTGCAGAAAGCCAATTTTTTTCCTCCCTTCTGTTGAATTTGATTGTGCATTTTGGAGTCTGTGGTTCATTTCTGTAAGTGTAAAATCAGAGCAAGTAAAGATGAATTGCATTGATACTTCATTATTATTTTTATTATTGTTGTTGTGGTTTTGTTGTTGTTTAATTCAAAAACAAAGGTGTCAAAAATTGTTGATAGAAGATCCACCTCTGGTAGCCTGAAGAACCTTTTAATGGATAATTCTTTATAGCACAGTTTCTGTAAAGGAGATATGAGAGTGTGAAGAACCATTTTTGCCTTTTTAGGAACCTCCGTACAATGTAAAGATTCTAGGAAGAAGCCTTAAATTGTTAAGGAACCTTCATATTATGTGAAGGTTCTGCAAATCTGTTAATGGTTCTTCATACTAACACATCTCTATTACAGACATGGTTCTTCAAGAAATTAAAGGTGGTTCTTCTGTGGCAGTTGTGGCACCTTTTTATAAGAATGTGGTCATAGCTGTTATTACTAAAACTACTACTACTACTTAAAAATAAATAAATAAATAAATAAATAAATAATAATAATAATAATAATAATAATAATAATAATAATAATGGTGATGATGCTGATGATGATGCAAAAGAGAATGTCTGAGAAGTAATAATATGTGATACTTTATTTCCTTCAGTCACTGGCATATCTGTTACATCTATATCACATTTAGTTCTACAATCTGAAATTCAATTATGTCTAATTATGTTTTCTGCAAGGCCTAATTTTAAACAATTAACAACAATGTAACATAATGTGATTTTCTTCTGTGTGATCTCTCATGTGTGATCTCTGTCAGCCACACCATTGTCTCTTGCACACATCTTCAAACCCTCAGGCCCTCTGAATTTTTAAGGGAATCCATTTCGCAATTACAGAATTAATAGTCATGGTAATCATGCAATTACTCTGTGGTTACATTAACAGAGTGGTCCTCCTCTGGCAAAAAAGAGTGAGCTGTTCTCTTTTAGAACTACCCTTTGGCTGAACATGATGGCTTAACACTGACTGCTGAGAACGAATGTACTGGTATTCTATTTAACACAGCTTCTCCACCAGAGGCCCCAGCTGAAGCATAAGATGTGCAACACAAGCCTACGCATAATTTGTCATGGGAAATAATACATATAATTTGTACCTCCCTATAGACAAAGATGCTCCACAACACAAATTCACACAATAAGAAGCCAAGTGGCTGTACATCCAGAGAGAGAAAGTGGTCTTACAGTACCACACATACATACTTCCGTACAACGCACTGGAAAGTATTGGAAACAATATTATATATGAGTAAAAAATTACATGGTTGTAATTTTTATTTAACAGAATCATCATGCTTGTTGTATTTAAACCCTGCAAATGTTATAGTGGTCCTTGTAGTAATACTTATTTTATTGTAAAGTTTTAGTTGGAAGCAAAAAGGTAAAATTATTAAAACAGCAGATGTAAAATTATACAATCAGGATTTTTTTCTCTGTTATCTAGGTAGATACAGCCAAGTGAATTCTCCTATTGGCCTTTTGGAGCTAAACTGAAGGTTTAAAGTGTCAGATTAACCACTAACATAATTAACAAGTGACAGTGGAATCAACCAAACGCATTTTATTTACAGTGAGTAGAACATCTTAATCGGATTTCTGCAGTTATCTGATTGTTCAAATGGTCATGTAAACAGCATACTCCGATGTCTTGGATCGGAGAGAGGTCTAGAAATCCAAGTAAGAAATCCAATAAAGAGAGCTAGATTTTAGCTCAGTAATCAGATTTCTCAGTGCATGTGAACTCTTACTCAGATTTCTTTCAGACTATCTTATTGCACATGTACGAAAACAGATGGTGGTACCAGAAAAAAGCAAGCAGTATTGCTGCAAGATGGCAGCAAAACACTTTTGGAGCAACGCTGAAACTAACTACATGCTTGACAAAATGAAGGACTTAAATATTCTTCATCTTCTAGATGAGTAAATAAGCTGAAAAAAAAAGCCATGGCATGAAGTTTTGAGTTTTCTTCTTCTTCTTCTATGAGTTTATTGGCTGGTTGCCAAGCAGAAATTCAATTACTGCCTGACTCATGTAGACCTGGAGTTTCCCCATTATCTAATTACCCAAGTGTATGTAAATGTGTTGATCAGATTACTAATAAAAATCTGATTTTCTGCAGTTATCGGATTTTTAAGTGCATGTAAACGCACTCACTGATTAAGAGCACAAGTGTTAGCCTGACAAATGCATTTCAGTCATTTTTAATAAATATATGTTGAATATTGTCGCTGTCCCAAAAAAAGAAAAAGAACATAGGAAAAAGGCAAAAAGTTCTTAACTTCTAATGTAAGTTAATGCAAAGATTTTATTCCAAGTCATTATGGAGCATTTGTTGGAAGAACAGGAAAGGGCCTTCTGCAAACTGGTGCCACAAAGTTGGAAGTATATAATTGTCTAAAATACAGTATCTTTGTATGCTGTAGCATTAACACTACCCTTCACTAGAACTATGAGGCCGAGCCCAAACCCTGAAATATAGCTCCAGGGCGTTATTCCTCCTCCACCAAATCTTAATGTTGGTACTTTGAATTCTGGTAGGTAGTGTTCTCCTGGCATCCGCCAAACCCAGATTTGTCCAGCAGACTGCCAGACAGTGAAGTGTGATTCATCACACCAGAGAACACGTTTCCACTGCTCCAGTGGTGTCATGCTTTACTCCACTCCGGCCACGCTAGGCATCGTGCATAGTGATCTTAGACTTGTGTGCAGCTGCTTCGTGATGGAAATTCATTTCATGAAGCTCCCGATGCGCAATTCTTGTACTGATGTGGCTTCCAGAAACAGTTCAGAACTCTGTAGTGAGTAATGCCACAGATGATTTTTACCCGCTACATGGTTCAGCACTCAGTGGCCCAACTGACAGTCACATACACACACCCCCATACAGTGCACTGGACAGTACATTAAATGCAACAGTCTTCTCAAACAACCATTACACATACAGACACATACAGTCAGGGGAGTCAGAGGAACACAGAGCAGCAGAATTCTAAACATCACCTGGCCTGACCACACACTCTGCCCAACATGCATCCGCACTGCTGTGCTCTATTCCCAGTCCAGTCACATCCGTGCCTCTGAGCATCTCTCAGAGTTGTAATCAGAACTCTCCAGACATGTTGGCTTGATTGAAGGACTGCTAGGTGGCAAGTCCCTCAGTTATTTATGACCCCCCAGTCTGCAAAAATAAATCAAGCGCCACCGGCTGACATGCTTGCCTGTATCTCTCTGCCAGGGGACAGGACAAAACAGGAAAGCAGAGCCCACTATTGAGCTTCTGCTTTCTGTGGATAAAATAGAAAGTGTTGTGGGAAAATGCTCAGCGCACACAAAATGGTAGTGGATATAAACACCATAGCTAGGGTCGTCTATGGTGGGGGTCCATAAAGAATTTCGCATGTTTTGTTTCAAGCTTCACTAGGTTCATGTTCCCAGGGACTGATAAACTGCATTGCAATGAAAAATGTTAGGTGTTTGTGTAGTAACATTTTATTTTAAGCACCATAAATGATTTTTTTTTTACTTCTTTGTTCATTAAAGCCCAAATTAGCCACTTCTCAGTGGCTTATTCACTGTTCATAATGCTTTGGAGGTCTGTTATTTGACAGTCACAAATAATTGGAATATTAGTTGTAATAATGCACAATAAGGATAACCTTCTTATACAAATTATTGAGCATGAATTATCAAACAAGTTCACATCCTATTAGTGTATAATTAGCAGCATTTTATTCCCAAAAGCTTTAGCGAGTGTAAAGTTACTTGTGGAGTTTGGTGATTTAGAGATAACAAGAGTTTAATAAGTCACTAATTTGTCATGTTGTGTTCCATATTCTAAAGTAGACTCTTATTTATCACTAAGTAGATGCTAAAAAGTCAAACATTCAAAACCTATTCATGTTTTTTGATTGCCAGCTTAGATTGAGTACTCCATAACATGTCAATATGTGTTCCATACAAGAGGCCAATGACTAACATTTGAATATAGAACACATTTAAAGTATTAGTGACTAAAGCAATAAATTTACACTGTCTAGGACATTTAGGAATCAAATGCTGCTAATTGTACATTAATAAGACATGTAGTTAATAATTCATAATAATTCATTCAGTCATTAGTGCAACAAAAGTACTAATGCTCAAGAGGTGGCAAAGTCAGATCAGGTCAGGTCTAAAAGTATTTATGGTGTATTATTATGTGAACTAATAATGCAATTATAAGTCATTTTAACATAACAGACCTCTAATTATGTGCTAATACAGGTGATAATGAATAAAGCTTAATGTATAGTGAAGAAACTATTTATAAGAGTCTAATTTGAGCTTTACTGAATAAAGAACAAGATCAATTTGTGTTCCTTAAAATTAAGTTCTGCACTTTGTTTTCATATCCAAAATTTATACACATTTATATCCAAAAATGTGTACACATTCATTTATCCTTAATGTCTGTACAATAACTTATACATTCTCTCTTTTCCTCTGTTATTTTTAGTATGTTAAATGTTGTCTTTTTCTTAAACCACAGCATGTAAATAAGTTCCCCTTTAGAATATCTGCTTTTTGATATTAGTATTTTACACTTGTATTTTTGTCAAATTGTGGTACCTCAGGGTATATATAGTGACACGTACCTTGGGCTATGTTGTATACTGTTTTGTCAAATACAAATAACTAACCAAGTTCCTTCTCATTTTCCCCTAGCTTGCCCATTACAACGCACCCCAAAGAGTGGACAGCTAGCCTACGAATTATGAATGTTGAACAAGATGACCTTCTCCCAGCAGCAGCAGACGATGAGAGGTCCTAGGTGGAACCGGGCCTTGTCCGACCCGTTGTTCGTGCTGTTGCTGGCATTGCAGCTCTTAGTGGTGGCTGGCTTGGTGAGAGCTCAGACCTGCCCATCTGTCTGCTCATGCAGCAATCAGTTCAGTAAGGTCATCTGCACACGTCGTGGCCTGCGCGATGTGCCAGACGGCATCTCCACAAACACCCGGTACCTAAACCTGCAAGAGAATTTCATCCAGGTGATCAAGGTAGACAGCTTCAAGCACCTACGGCACCTGGAAATCCTGCAACTGAGCAAGAACCACATCCGTAACATTGAGATTGGAGCCTTCAATGGGCTGGCCAGTCTAAACACGCTGGAACTCTTTGATAACAGGTTAACTACAATCCCAAATGGAGCATTTGAGTATCTGTCCAAGTTAAAGGAGCTATGGCTAAGGAACAATCCCATTGAGAGCATACCGTCTTATGCCTTCAACCGAGTACCCTCGCTGCGAAGGCTGGATTTGGGTGAGCTGAAAAGGCTCTCATATATTTCTGAAGGTGCTTTTGAAGGCCTGAGCAACCTGCGTTACCTGAACCTTGGTATGTGTAACCTGAAAGAGATCCCTAACCTCATCCCTCTGGTACGCTTGGATGAACTGGAGATGTCAGGAAATCAACTCTCAGTTATCCGACCAGGGTCTTTCAAAGGGCTCGTCCATTTGCAGAAACTGTGGATGATGCATGCTCAGATCCAGACAATTGAGAGAAATGCCTTTGATGATCTTCAGTCACTGGTGGAGCTGAATTTGGCTCACAATAATCTTACCCTGCTCCCTCATGACCTCTTCACACCACTACACCATTTGGAGAGGGTGCACTTGCATCACAACCCTTGGAATTGCAACTGCGACATCCTTTGGCTCAGTTGGTGGTTGAAGGAAATGGTACCAGCCAACACCAGCTGCTGTGCCCGCTGCAGTACCCCTCCCAGCCACAAAGGACGCTACATTGGTGAGCTGGATCAGAACTATTTCCACTGTTATGCGCCTGTTATTGTGGAGCCACCTGCTGATCTGAATGTGACAGAGGGCATGGCAGCGGAACTGAAATGTCGGGCAAGTTCACTGACCTCAGTCAGTTGGATTACACCCAATGGGTCTATCATGACACATGGAGCGTACAAGGTGCGTATTTCCGTGCTCAACGATGGGACATTAAATTTTACAAATGTCACAATGCAGGACACAGGGACATACACATGTATGGTTAGTAACTCAGCCGGCAACACCACAGCCTCTGCTACACTAAATGTGTCCTCAACAGAGAACAGCAGCTTCAGCTACTTTACCACAGTGACCGTGGAGACCATAGAGCCATCCCACGATGAAGGGCACACCACAGTACAGCAGAAAGTGAGTCCTACTCCTTCTTCTGGGGTGTGGGAGACACCTTCTGCCCCTTCATCTACCACGACCACAACGGCTCGGACGCCACTATCAACTAAGGCCACAGATAAAACCTACACCATCCCGGTCACGGCACTGGGTGACGGCTCCCTCAATACCCTGGATGAGGTGATGAAGACCACTAAGATCATCATTGGCTGCTTCGTGGCCATCACACTAATGGCTGCAGTTATGCTGATTATCTTCTACAAAATGCGCAAACAGCATCACCAGCAGAACCACCATGCGCCAACACGAACCATCGAGATCATTAACGTGGATGAGGACTGCGTCACTGGTGGGCCAACAATGGAGGGTCATCTGACTCTGCCACCTCTTGAGCATGAGCATCTTAACCACTACAACACCTACAAGACAGCATACAATCACGCCTCCACCATCAACTCCATACACAGCTCCGCACATGAACCTTTGCTTATTCGGGCCAGCTCAAAAGACAATGTACAAGAGACCCAGATCTGATCACTTTTTCATAATGGGAATTAAAAGAAAAAAAACAAACTTTAAAACAAACTCTAAAGGAACACTATATGACATTTTGAATCTAAAGAAGATGGCTCAAAGAAGTGAAGATATGTCAGACCTATGTGCAACAAATACGCAAACGATGGAGGCTATTGAGTGACATTGGGAACTAGGGTATGGTAAACGGTTTCAAAGTGTCTTTACCTAACAGAAGTTATTTATTTAAGAAAAAAACTCTATTGTGGATAATTCAAGAAAAAAAATGTATTCTGCAATTATTTTTTTCAGCGATTATTTCTCCATGTTTGTTTTTATATATATATATATATATATATATATATATTATATATATATATATATATATAATTTTAAGATTGGTAAGGCTGGTTGGTTTACTAATATGCTTTCAAACTCTGTGTAAATCCTCAGAATCTTTCATTCCATGTGCACCAGCAGCATCTAAAATTTTATACTTGTTGGTTTCCATCAACAGTCATCATCAAACCCTTTAAATTCCTAATTTATCATTTTAGAGGCTGCTCACCAACATTCCATTTCTTTACTCACACCAACTCAAACAGATTTATTGCTTCCTTAGGGCTGATCTTGCTGGAGGCTTGAACTCTGTCATCGTCATTGAAGAAATCTGATAATAACATGATACCACATGAAGTCTGTCTGCCAATCAAATGCTGTAGACACAGATGTGCAATTGACTTGCCATCTATGATACTGGAAATGTGTCCTCATTTAAAAACAGGCAAAATGTCAAGAACTGAAATCTGTGCCAATCTATGTGGTGCAATTTTACACTTTAGTGGGAGAAGATGCAGATTTATTCAACAAATTACCATTGAGAGCCCACTATACTTAATTAAGTATAACTTGTAGCATTTGACAGTGATTATGTTATCCATAGTAATTTAGTACTGGTGAAGACACAATAAAACTGTGGACTACACTTTTATTTGTTAAGGGAACTGTTAATATAAAGAAAATGGGTTTCTTTGTTCAATTCCAGATCTTATAATTCCATTGAAGTCAGTGCCCATAAAAATTGCATCTCTTTCTTGCCAAATCTCCCTGATTGGGTTCCACACACTCTCAAACCACTTCTAGGCTCATCACAGCCCCCATCTGCTGCAACCCGTTCACTTTAACAAATTCGATATCAGCATGTGGTCTATCTGCTCTTCATTTACCACATTTAGCCCATAGTATGCCAGTTGTGGGCACAGCCCAGAGGAAACAGGGCAGGGGCTTATGAGACAGGCGCTTGAGGGGGGTGGGGGGCTATGTGGCAGCAGCCTCGAGCAGATGTTGGGGTTGCACCTGTGTCCCATCCATGGCACCATTTCCATTTTAATCAATGTGTCATGGGGTTCGCCGTGGACACAGCTTCACACAGCCCCATCCTGGGAGCCCTTCAAAGCCTGAAACATGAAAAAAGGAGCCGTAAATATGAGGGCAGTGCTAGTGCCCTTCAGATCCAAGGCTTCCAAAGATGCCCCAGGTGTCTCTTTATAGATTATGGGGAAGTGATGCTTTTTTTTTTTTTCCTAGTCCTCCGATTTCCCCTTTAACTCATATCAGAAACCTTAGCAGGTTAGGCCATTCCTATTAAAACTTATGCATAGATAAAATAAGCATTTAAAACAAAATTTACTTTAATGGATGAGAAACAAACTCCTATTGATTATACATGCAGTTGTCAAGAAGCATTTAGCCAGGAAAGCATTCTTAATAATGTGGGGGGGAAATATATAAATAAATAATAGTAATGAATTGAGAATAGACTTACACAGTCACCATGGTAACCAATGACCTTGACAGGGAAAGCAATAGCTGACAGGGCACACCACTCCACGAGCATCCACTGGCCTGACACTGTAAATGTATTCAGAGTCAAATAGCACAGAGAGGTCTACATTCATGCCAAAAGGAGACTCATTTGAAGTTCACCCTTTAGTCCATGAAGTAGTTCTGAAAGCCGTATAGCACTTGCATTCAGTACGTTAACATGCCAGATTTCTTTACAGCATCTTAATTGCACGAACATAATACAGTTGTTTGACGCTTTGAGTTCAAGATTGGAACATGAATTGTAGCATTTCTGAAATTACAGTGCGTCTCATTCAAAATCCCAGCTGGACATCTTGGCTCAAAACTATATTTCACAGCAAAGATCTACAAGCTTTGATCATAGCTTTGATCAGTCCTCAGAGAAAGACAAGTGTTTGTAACCTAAGCATTTCTACTCACACGCACACAGGCAGAATCCACTGGAAAGGCATTGGCTTTGGTGCATCAAGTCAATATAAACAATCCCAGATAATGTCACGGTTCTGGCTTACCACCCTCATAGCCATTAAGACTAAGGCACATTTAAAAAGGGAATCGTAGAAAGGCGTTTGATAAAAATAGACTGTTCCTCAATCTAAGTGCTGCTCTTCTAAGCCTCATTTCATATCCAATGATTCCAGCCATGTAAAAACTGATTTAATATAACAAGATCCTGATAATGCATCGAGTTCAGGCACAGCGGTAAACCACGTTATTGTTTGTGTGTTTCATCGACTTTTGTTTTGTTTGTGGACTGGGAGACTTAGATCATTGTCTTAGAATCCCATTAATCAGAACAGTCTTTGTCCCTTCGTCCCACAACTGTGCTTTGATTCCTTTTTTTTTTAGTTCTTTCTAAAGAGCTGTATGGTGAATTCTCGTGTGATGGCTTTTTTGATTTCTTCTGTCTCATTATGTACGCATCTCTTTGCTTTGGGTCAAAGAAGGAGCAAGATATTTTTTTCTCTGTTTCACACAATTCTTTTCTTCTTCTCTGAGAAGGAATGCTGTTCTAGTGGTAGATTTATATAAAAGACATTTTGAAAATAAAGCAAAAAAAAAAAAAAAATTGGGTTTTAATTTTACATGTGCCAACCTGTTCTAAAAGAAGAAAAAAAGATATGTGGTAAAAGACTTCAGAATTGATTTTCATGTAAGCATACTTTCATGACCTTTAAAAAATGATGAAGATCGATTATAGAAACCAGAGTTTGTAGTTCATACACAAAATAAGGTTACAAATAAACTATTGTTGTTTTTTTTCTGTATGGTCTGCTCTTTATTACACTAGCAGGAAGAAAACGCAAAAAATGTCAAAGCAAGTGTTTTTCGTCATGATCTGTTTTATGTTTTGAGTCAATTGTCTTTATGGTTCTGAATTACAAGCAACTACTTGTAACTCTGCAAAAGTAAAGAAGATATTCAAAATGGAAAAGCAGTTATGAATCTATAAACCTGATATTTAGTTCTATAATATGTGTGCAAATTCATGCAACTCTTATTTTGTAAGACTTTTATGTGTCAGGATTCAAGAAAGGTAACAAATTGCAGAACATCGTCTGCTGATGCATGCAGAGCAAAAGACATTGTAGCATTTTAATTCACAGCTACGGGATAGCAGACTGGGTAAAAAGAAATAGCTATATAGTAATTTTCCAGCTTAACTGAGGCAGGTGGCCGTTGTTCATCCTGCAGCATGGATGAGTTTCATTCCCTTCCTGTGTTCAGGCGCATTGCATAAATCATTGAGCACAGCACGCTTTACAGTGCATCAGCTGAGAACACCTGTGAGGGAGAGAGAGAGAGAGATGAACAACTCACCAAGCTGCTGTTCAGAATCTGCAATAAGTGATCCTTTCTGTTTTCCATGCATGTAGTTCAAATGTTTAAGAGTCTGCAGAAACCATCTGTTGTGCATGGAAGAAGAATTCATCTGATTATGCCAACAGTTTATATTACTGGCATTGTTTTATCATCACAAGTTACAAATAACATTTTTTTGCCAAATATATCTACATATACAAGGAATATTTCTTGGTGCTGGTATTGCACAAAATCTTCTCTGAAAAAAGCAGAACAACTCCAAAGTAAAACCATAACAACTATATAAAACAACTAAGACTGAAAAAAAATGTAGTGTTTACAGATATTGCAATATATACACTCAAGCCAAATTTTTAGAAATAAAGGTTTCTAAATGGGTCTTGACTTGGATGTATAGTTGTAAGAAAACCTGGTATAGGTTATCTGGTACGGGGAGGTTCTATAAACCTTTTTAAAAAGGCTCTTCTTGCTCTTCATTCACCAATGATTTAACCATGTTAGGCAAATTATGGAGACTTGCCCAAGGACTCTTACTGGATGAGCATCAATGATATACTTATGCATTTGGCAGATGTTCTTATCCAGAGCAACTTATAGTTTAATCATGTTACAGAGGTAGGCGAATACAAGGTCGTGCCCAAGGTGCATGGTGTGCCTTGGCTTTTAGTCCCCTGCAAGTACGTCCAGGCAGTGCCACAGCTCCACAGGACAGTTATGGAGATCCCTGAATGCTACACTGGAGAGCATCACCTTGTTGCCATGTCAGACAACACAGTTGCTGGAGAACACCATGAACATTGTTGTCCCTCTTCTGTCTCCATTTTGTTTCTCACCCTCTATCCTGCTTGTGTGGTGTGTTTTCTCAGGTGAGGGAATCAAACCTCAGTCTGCCATGTGGAGAGCAGCAGTATTACCTACTACACCATACCAACCACACACAGCTATAGCAATTTCAAGTCTAAGGGACACCTGCCCTGCAGAGTTTCAAGTCATCCCTGCTCTACAACACCTAATCAAATTTATGAAGGGTGTGATAATTAGCTGAAGAGGATCAGGTGTGCTCAAGCAGGGAAGGACAACCTGAAACTCTTCAGGGCATTGGGTCCCCAAGACTGGAATTAAAAATCATGTTCTGTGGCATCGCTCCAAAGAACCCTTACCAGCACCTTTATTTTTAAGAGTGTATGGACAACTGAGCACATAACACATTAGCTTTATTAGCAAAAATTGCCATACCAGTGGACAAAGTAACTGCAGCCAGTTCTGTCCATATCAAAAGAGCACAGATTCAACAGATAAATGATTTGTAAAAAGAAGTATTACAGACGCCTCCTGAAAATCACTCCGTGATTTAAAATAAAGCTATAGTTTTTCAAGTAATCTTGTATTAATTTAAACAGGCCATGCTTGCCTCAGAAACACCTACCTTGTACTTTCAATCATTAGCCACTTGATGAAGTGTATCTACTATACAGATCCAATGTACTTATATTAGCTTGTATC